GTCATTGTCAGTGAGTCCGTCTAGCTCAACACAACAAACTCAGATCAAACTGTCTAACTGTCAAACTAGACAGTGCTGATCAGATATGGATCCAGATTCTGTTACTGTGTTGACTATTTCTCCCCTAAATTTGTTTCAGAAACACATGTTAGTGTATTGTCTATTGGGAATATGGGATTGTGTGTGACCAGGCGATAGTTAGAGTAAACTCTTGGCCATGAGGCTGAACTCGAGGCTTCTAAATGGTACTCCATAAACCAATGGGTGATGTCATGATAGGTTCACATTAGACAGTTATCAGTGAATTTAACCAGAATGAATAATTACAACTGGGATGTTTTGTATGAATGAGAGAAAAGTCAGTTGTGTGTAAGCTAGAGGCTGGATTTTGGATCTGTTTTGTATTGTTGAAAGAATGGTCCAACGTGCAGTTTCCTAGAGTCTCACTGGAACAGTAATTAGTCTAACAGAGGTTGTTTTTAAGGCAATATAATTAAATGCTGGCAGTGCATCAGTACATTAGCATAGAATGAGTTTCCTGAAACTGTTTGCTTTCTCCCAGGGGGTTTGGTTCTTCCTTGGAAGGAGAAAATCTCCAATCGTCAGCTCCCATACAGTCTTACTGTTTTTCTCTTTTTCCTGTGGACATGGGGAGTGTGCGATAAGACAAAGCAGTGGTCTGTGGTTCATATTATCAGCTGCTACCATGCTGTCCTGTGGGACCTGAAAGCACACCTGTCTGAAAGAGAAAATACATCAAATTACATTGTGTGTGTATGAGTGTGAGTTTTGTCTAGAGAGGGTTAGGTGACCTCCAAAGCATCAGAGTATAATAACATGTAAATACACAGCTGATGGCACAAGCAACAGATAGAATGTGCGATGTGCAGATGTGATTGTTGTCATTGTTTTGCAAATCCCAAGTCAAGTCCAAGCAATTCAAGTCAGCTTTATTGTCACAGTTGCATCTGCAGTTAGATGGTGTGTGATTCAAAGATAATAATAATTATAAAATATACCATGTATTTTACGTAAGTATACTTAAAAGTATCCCACCTTACCGCGAGAAAGCTACACCTTTGTTTGCTGTGTTGCAGCTTTAAATGTAATGGTATTTGTTGCGATTTAGTGCCCCCAGTTGTCCATCCGGTTCTGGCACAACACCAACACCACTCTCTGTCAGCCCTCTACCCGCGCTGAAAAAAAATCTACGTTTTTGCTGTTCTGCCACTGAGATGCGCCAGCCACTTTGACAGATGAAAAAGATGCCAAGGTAATCCAATCACCGAAAAAGTACTGTCTAAAAAATGTCCTTACATGTTCGCATTCTCATTAGATTTCAACCTCTCTGACAGGGAAAAAGATCCCAACATTTTTCCTTAAGTGATCCCCTTTTTATCACTGAGTAAACTGACGAAGTGACATATATCATGAATATTATATTCAAAGCTGTACAGTGAACCCAAACACTGAACACAATAACTGTATGTTATTAATCAGAGATGAGTTTTCCTGATATTTTTAGGAACTTTCTATACAATGAGGCTGTTTATCAGAGAGTGAAGGCTCTGTGAATATATCTTGTGTTCAGGTCGTCAAAGTTTAAATAAAAGTCTAAACTTTAAAAACAAAAAATTTATTTAGTTTTCTTCATAGAAATGAATGAAATGTTGAGATGTTTATTTAAGTTTTCTTAGAAGAAGGCCTTGTGACCCCCTGTTGCCCCATGCGACCTTTCTGTCAGCAAGGGCTCTGTAAGAAAATTCAATTCAATTCATTTCAATTGTATTTGTATAGCACCAAATCATAACAGAAGTTATCTCAGGACACTTTTCAAAATAGAGCAGGTCTAGACCGTACTCCTTATAAAATTAATTACAGAGACCCAACAGTACCACCATGACAAAGCACTTGGCGACAGTGGCAAGGAAAGACGTCCTTTTGAGAAGCAATGTCGCAATCCCAACAATTAATGCAAATTCAACCAATGCTTATGAATGCTGCGCGACCTTGCAGTTTTGTCCAATCGCCACCACTTTTCCACAAATTCGACCATCAGTGTAGTTTCCAACAAGTTCCCCCAATCATAGCAATCCCCCATGCAAAACATTGAGCCATACGTCACCAAACTTATAGCAATTTTATTCTTGCTTTAACAATTTGCCTTAGATTCTGAACTATTTTTGCATTTGTTACATTCTCCCTCAATTTCATTGCAATGCATAGCAACATGCATCAGAATATTTTTAGAAAAGCTGCCGTGAAATGAGGCAATTTAGGCCACAAAATCCTGAAGGGACTGTCAACTTGTGCTGTTTGACTTCAGGCAGTAAGGATCATTATGAAACCAACATTAGCTACAGAAGAGTTGCAGATTTTGCATCAATACTGGCTCACAGACAGGTGAGACCATAGATGTATTTTGAAGCATAGTGAAGTATTCCTTATTCCATACACCATGAAGTTGGACAACTATGTAATGCCTTCGCCATCCTAGGAAAAAAATAAATCAGCTGACAGAACACTACTGAATGAGAAGGGGTGAGGGTGGCATTAAGTATGTGTCTGAATTTTCTAGGCATTCCCAATTTATGCAATTTCAGTACTGTTATAATATAATAGGTAAAAATAACAAATTTATACCACATGCAAAGAGGAGACTCATGGGTATTTTCATTCAGATATCTTGAAGACAAAGGTCAAGGGATCCTTTTGAATATGGCCATGACAGTTTTTCCAACACAAAATTTCCCTGCCCCGAGTCCATAAGACTGTGAACTAAGTATATATTTCCTTTGACCAACACTGTGGACCATGACTAGATATTTAACCGACTTACAGTTTTGAAATGTGGATATACAGATGGTCCCTAGAGAAAAGATTATGATCATTAGCAAAATGCCAAAACCTTGAAGACAAAGAAACTCTCATTATATAATGGCCAGATAATAGCTATTTACTTTGCAGTCTGTTATTTCCTGGAAATAACTATGTAATTTAGTAATAATTATAGGTAAAATAGACAGTGCTCCATTGGTCCTGATCCAAAGTCTTAAAGTATTTCAGTCAGCAGGTTAACTGAACATGGGAAAATGTGTGATTTGCCTCCAGGCGAGTATATAATATGTATGGAGAATTTACTTTCCATTAAAAAAAGAAAAATGAGGTAAAACCTGGGAATTACAACCATGAAATGATGCTCTACCAGCCAGACTGCCATGAAGTTTGCTGAGCAACACAACACGTTCAAATTGTGGGGTACAATTAACATTACAGGCTTTGCCTTAATTTCATCAGTAGGTCGACAAATGAGTCTTTTAAGAAACAATTTATGCACAAGCTCAAAAACATGAGCACATGATGTTAATGTATATTTTATAAACATTCATAGAGAAGCAACAAATATCATACAAAAACTGAAAATCACAAGTGTTATAGGGATTCATTCATTGCATATTAATAGAGACACGACACTGTACACATCATCGAATATTAAACCAATTGAATATAATTATGCTTTGTGTTGATTTGCTCACATAACACATTTATGTCAGCAGAGCTTTACAGACAACGCAGAGTGGAAAATGTTACTTATTAAAAAAAAAGAGCCAGCCAAGTTTAACACAGGTTCAAACCTGTGTTGCCTGGATCAGATGATCATTTAAATCCTACTGCCATGTCCTCAGAAGATGTGTGGTTTAGTCTGAACCAGGTCCTGTGTGCGGTAGAAATCACCCAAACTCCTGTAGAGGTCAGTGTGTCTAAGGTTTAACTTAAACCTGCCCAGGGGCGGGTCTAGAGAAATATTTATGGGGTGTTCAGAGGTTGGCATAGGAGACTTTAAGGGGTGGCAGAAATATATGCTGATTTAATCAATATTTTAAGCAATATTTGCTTGGAAAAGCCCCCAAATGAAGACATGAAAAACATAACATTATTGTGGCACATTAGTAAAGCACTGAATATAAATATCTAAAGGTGACATTAGAAATCAATAGACTGCTTTATTTCCAAACATTTTTCCCTAATATGTCTTTTTTCATTGGACTTAAGCCCATCACATCCAGAATGTGGCCATAACAGATCATTAAGGGTAAGAATCTCCATAACTGCATCACTAACTGCATTTACCTGTACTGACTAATTGTACATCAAAGTGGAAATGTCAGCAACAGTGGAAACATTGCAGAACACGATTCCGATTACAATGACATCAGTAATATTGCAGCAGCACAGATGAGATAATAATTCCATTGCCCCAGTGCATGCTGGTTAGCTGTCAATCATGGTAGTGCATTTCCACCAAAGGTTCTTGAACTGGTTCTGTTCAATTTTTTGGAATCTTGGTGCTATCTAGCGATGTGCTCCGAGCGTTTAAAAATTAGGGGCACAAACCAGAACGGAACGCCTTTCATGTTGATGGGAAACCAGTGCACTCATGGATGTATTAAGCTCTCATAATACATCCCTGTGTGTGCTACATAATGATAACATTGTTGTGTTGGTTTTGACGCAGCAATTAGGTCCAGTTTAGAATGCAGCTGTGTTTTAAACCCTTTCTAAACCGCAGCTAAACTGAGCCACCCATTTGTGGACAACAATTTCCCAAAGCCAAAGAGCAAAAGGCATAAAGACCACCTGACATTTTAAAGACATGCATTAGGACAATGCTTCCAGCAGTGGGACAAGGATCTGTTATTTTGGTCCACAAGATTACTCAGACCATCTACCCTGCATACTGACAGTGCCAGTCATGAGTAGATTTTTTTCCTTATCTGTAGAATCGATGTATATGAATTATTACATAAATTTCACTCAAGTGTTCAGGAACACTTGAGAAGAAAAATAAATGTGGATGGTCATTACGTTAAGGTGGCTATGAGTGTTTAATGTACAATGTAAGGTGATGCTGTAGAGTTGATTCTGTCATACTTTGCCAGAGGATGAGACAATAACCTATTTGCAGCTGCCTAACACTGCACATAGCAGCTTGGATTTTAATGATGACACAACATTAGATAAAGCAGTTTCAGACACCAGCATATCGTTAGACAAACCGCTAAGCAAATGGCTAAGGAAGACCAGTCCTCTTCGTGTTACAGTTACCCTCCTGGTCAGGACAGTTCACAGTTTTGCTGTGCAGATGAGAAGGAGGCAGCAGCTCAGGGTTTACTGGGGGAGCGGGAGGTGAACACTCCCGAAGCCTCCAGCATGGTCTTTCTTCTTGCCGTCTCTTTGGCCACATTGTGGTTGAGTCTCCTCAGACGTTCCTGGAGACAGGATATTTAGGTTATGTTGTTGCTTGCATATTGCATGTGTGTTTCTATGTTTTTAAACTTAAACAGTTGGTAATTATGGTGGTGATACTAATCATCATAGCAGTATAGTGGTATTAGGGGTGGTAGTGGTAATATATATGGTAATACTATATATGGTAGTAGTAGTTATAATAGTAGCAGTGAATAGTAGTAAAGGTAGCAGTATAAGCAGCATTTTTTCATATTTGCTGAAACTTTCACTATATCCTGAGAGTAGAACATGAGACAGATAATCTGTGAAACAATCAGGTTCCTCTGGCTCCTCCTTATTTTCATAAAGTAACCTGCTGCAGCTTTAAAAGATATATAAAGTCTACTTGGAACAATAATGTGAGAGATTTTTTCTGCAAAAAAGTATAATTTACACATCAAATCCCTAAAAAGTAATCTCCTACTCCTACCTCATTAAAACCTCTGGAATCTGTGAATATGCAAATGTTGTTCATTTCTAAAGTTTTGCTGCTGGACACAAGATGTCTCCTCCTTCACTGTAAAGTCCATTCTCAGTGGATGAGCACTGGTGGCTTC